GCACCGCCAGCAGCGCCGAGTGTGGGTGCTCGGCCTCGGCGCGCAGGCGTAGCAGCGCGCGCCACTCGCCTGTCGGGGCCGCCGCCGCCTCCCCGGGCGCCGCGGCCGGTCCGCCCTCGGGGCAGCCCGCACCCTCGGGGGCCGCCCAGGACCAGGAGCTGTTCCCAAAGCCCGAGCCAAAGAGGCGCAAGCGGAAGGTGGCCTCAGGCACGGCCGGCACCTCCCCTCCGCGCGCCCACGCCGCTCCCGCGGACCCGGCCTGCTCCAGGCAAATGCCCAGCACCCGTGGACCCTGCGCCACCTCCCCCGCGGCGTGACCCAGACAGAGCGCGGCCAGCAGCCAGCCCAGCCGCCCCGCCGCCGCTGCTGCTGCCGCCATCGCCCGCTGCCCGTCCCGGGCCCTGCACAGCCTACCTCCGCCTCCGCCGGCCAATAGGCGCTGGCCTCGCGCTCCCCCCGCCAATGGGCGACGCGTGGGGGCGGGCCTAGGGTCGGGCTAGGCTGCACCAGGGCGTAAACAAGTGGCGCGGGCCGGGGCGGGGCGGGGCGGGGCTGGCGGCCCGGGGAGGGGGTGGGGCGCGGTGCTCGGGAGGCCGTAGTCCGGGTTCCGGAGGCCCGCCTGAGCTCTGACAAGTGCCCGGCTGGCGAGCGGCCGCAAGCGGGGGTCTCGGTGTAGGGAGACGTGTCGCTTTCTGAGGAAAAGGCCTGGGAATGCCGACCGGAGGCCGGGAGGGTGAAGGGGAGTCCGAGGCTGGGCTCCGTGAAGCTAAGGTTCGGGAAGATGCTTGTTGATGGCTTCTGACCCCGCGCTAGTCCCGGGAACGGAGACAGCTCTTGCAGGAAAGGAGAGAAACACAGGAGATCACCCCCCTGGGACCTGCGCCGCTGCTTCATGTTATTTTACAGGAGAAAAGTGAAGCATGACTCGGCGGATGTTGGGTTCCAACGCGACCCACCTAATACCGCGCCACCCTCCCAGGTCGCCACCCAGGCACATTCGGAGACTGTCAGGAATGCCCGGGCCCGTCAGCTCCACCGGTAGTTCTTCCTCGGTCTTAGGCTCCCTGAGGAAGGACTTATCAATCATTTTGTTGGGAAACCTTTGGACAGACAGTTGGAGCTATTTGGATCACACAAATGGTTATTTGACTGTCAATATCCAAAGACAACAAATCCAGCACAGCCCTGGCCGGTGGCTCAATTGGTTGGAGCATCGTCCTGTACAGCAAAGGTTCCGGGTTCAATTCCCGTCGGGGCGCACACCCAGGTTGTGGGTTCAGTTCCCAACTGCACTGCGGGAGGCAATCAATAGATGTTTCTCTCTCTCCTCCTTCCTCTTCTCTCTCTCTCTCTCTCTCTCTCTCTCTATATATATATATATATATATATATAATCTCCTCAGGCAAGGATGAAAAGAATATATTAGACAGCTTATATTTATAGTTTGTTTTTCTTTTTTTAAGAATCCAGCACAGGGGAAAGCTGCTCACGGAGGGCTTTCCTGCTAACAGTAAAGGCGTCTACTGTGCTTCAGGTCCCTCGTTGACCCTCCCTGGGCCATTTTCATTACTGGTCACTTGGTTCAAAACATTTCCATGTTTTATCCAAATATTTTGAGTTTTAAACCCATAGCTACTGTGACTTAACTGGCTAATTCCTGCTTACTTCTGGTCTGCAAATGTCACTTCCTCCAGCTGGTCTTCCTCCACCATCTAGACTAGGTTGAGTCAAGGTTATGAGAGCTAGGTGCTGCTCCCCCAGAGCGTCCAATACTTACCTATGGTGGTAAGTTCACTCATTCAATAAGTATTTCCTGTATTGAGTGCCTGCATTGTACCAGGTCCTGTTCTAGTGTTGGGACTATCTATATATATAAAAGCCTAAGTGACTAAAGAACCAAATGACCCAATGACCAGTTGCTATGACATGCACTGACCACCAGGGGGCAGATGCTCAACACAGGAGCTGCCCTCTGGTGGTCAGTGCGCTCCCACAGCGGGAGTGCCACTCAACTGACCAACCCATCCCAGCAGCCCAACACTCTCCCCCTCAGTAGATCTGTAGGTCCAATCTCTGGAGAATGCCAGGCACTGATGGAACAGTGCCGCCAGCACAATCCCAACAGCGCTGCTGACCTCCTAAAAGTCGGCCTTGGGCACCACAGCCACTTCCCCTCCCTAGATGCTCTGCAAGGAAGAAACGATATAAAAGTGGGCCACCAGGTGGCTCCCGACACCCAGCACAAATGTCAGTGGGATGAATCCTCGGGCAGGCAAGGGCGTCCCACTGCCCCCCGTGCTGGGTGTCGGGAGCCACCTGGTGGCCACTTTTATATCGTACCTTCTTTTAGAGAGTCTAGAAAGGGGAAGTGGCCCGAGTGTCTAGTCACAACTGCAGAAGAGAGAAACACCTGTCTGGATTTGTGGCGGCTATGTACTGTCTGACTGGGCATACCCAAAAAAAGCGATCCATAGTTAATTATGTCTAACTGTTTTTTTTTTTGCATCGATGGTAAGGTCTCATTACCTCAAACTCGAGCA